TAATATCTCCAAAGGGGGCACAGCTAATAAAACAATAAGTCATTCTAGCCACTTTGTAATTGCCTTTAGTAATAAATCACAATAACCAATAAAAAAATTAGACATTTGCCAGCCTCCGGCTAATTCTCCCAAAACAAAACAACGTATTTGTAATTTTTTTCGAAAATAAGATGTCAGTATCACAATAGCCTAATTAATTTGTTTGTACATTACCCCCGCACTCATGTATCTATACTAATAATCTTTTTTTCCTGTTATAGATGTTTTTGATCAATGTTTCAGAAATTGCAACATTTTTGGCCTTTGTGTTAATAATGATGTTCGCTAAGAAAATTCCTGTCCATCTGATTTTCGTTGCCATGTGCTCTGTTACATATGTTGTCAGACAGCAACTTACTGCAGAACTCAACGCACATATGGAAAGATTAACCACAGATCTTACATCACGAGATGCCACAATTGTGGTCAAGAGACAGAGAATCCTGACAATGGTAAATACTGTGATTGAAACTATTAATGAAATCACCACCAATTATGAATCCCTTTGTGACCAGTTAGACCAAATAACTGAGACAGATTCTGTGGCATCATTAATATCTGAACAATTTGCTGGCCCATCCGTATCTACGTCCAATTTTTCTTGAAGTTCTTCTGGTTCTTCTCTGGGTTCTTCTAGTGGCTCAAGTCAATTATCTTTTTCTGATATTACCTCAACAACCAGAAACCACTTTAAAATTCTTTTTGATAAGATTATGATAGACAATAATTATTTTTTAGATGATATGTGTAATATGGTGTCTGTTGAGATTCGTAGTCTTGGAATAGGAAAGATTAGTAAGGAAACTATAAAAAATTTTTATTATAATAATGGTGATTTTAGAGGTAGTACTTTAAATAAAATAGGTGCTTGGATCGATAGCAAAAATAATTTTAACTTAGCTAATAATACGGAGTAGCGAGAAGGAACTGCTACATTATGGTCTAGGGCTAGCAAATTCCTTCCTTGAAACACTGCTACTCCAATATTCATTTTCTACTTAGCTGGCCCGGGCCATTTTCATATATATCTACAAAATTAATAAAGTTTTTATCTATGATTTGATTTTTAAATATATTTGTTTGCTAAGAATTAATTTATTTACTGTAGTTCATTTTGACTTTTACAATATATTCAGTATAGGCAGTTGATCTGTTGAAGTAACAAAAAATTATTTGCATTATCAGGAAGATCAACGGGAAAATGAATTTTACTTATGTATGTACTACATTATTGATTTACATAACAGTAGCAATATTGAGTATCAACTAATTGCAGGTTTGAATGATAAAAAATTTAGAACACATATATATTTTTTTTGGCTAATATATAACAATGAAAGATAAGAGTAACGTATTAAGGCTGTTTGAAATTAAAGTTTTGTTTAACGTTATTTTTTGATATTTGTGCAGAGGGAGGGTGGGGGGAATTAAACAAACATTAAAATTAAATGAGGTTCAAATGAACCTAAATTAGGTTTATGTGAACCTAAATTAGGTTCATATGAATCTAAATTAGGTTCATATGAACCTAAATTAGGTTCATATAAATTTATGTCAGGTTCATGTGAACCTAATAAAATTGACTTGACTTAAATCAAATTAGCTGCATTCAAATATAAGTTTATTTAATATAAATATTTTAATAAGATAAAAATTGTAATGTTTATAAAAAAATTTTTATCTATATAGCATAATTGCTATAGTGATGACTACATTTTTTTCACTTAAGCAAAATAATCAAAAAGTGGTCTGAATTGTGTTCATTAATTTTATCTTATCAATAGTTACTAAATTTCTTCATCTACCATCAATTATTTAAGCAACCTAATTGATTTTAAGCAGTAAACTGTTAACTTGTGATTAATTGAAGAAGTTAGATAATGATAATAAGGTTTTCTTTTTTTATTTATTTTATTTTACTAATCATTACCTTCTTCCTCACTATCATTATTATTTGATAGAATAAATTTTTTTTGTGCTCTTTTATGCCATGTTTTTCCATTATTTTTACAAAATTCACACAATGGATATATAGTTTTCCATTCAGCTTTTAGCATATCTAAGGGTTCTATAAGATTTTCAGATTCTTCACACCAATAGCAAATATCAAATTTTTTAAGCCGCCATGAAAAATATGTTGTCTCGATAGGAGAATTACATTTAAGATTTAATCTAACACTTACTTGATCCAAAAGTTCATGATCTTTCGGTAATAATTGTGACCTACATATATAGCATAAACCATCAAGTGTAGATTGAATTTTGATTTCTTCATCAGTTGTTAAATTGGTATCACTATAAATACATCGCATTTTTCCACAGTGTTCACATAAAATTATGTGTCGAATTTTTGAATTAATAAATTTGCCAGTTTTGTTTTTATTCATTTTTTCATTTGCAGTTATGTTTGTTGTTGATGGATGAAATCTTTCTGATGTTGGTTGGCCATAAATTTTATCAAAATCTTTATAATGGTCTTGATTATTTTCTAATAGTTCAGGATCAGGAATAAAAGATAAAGTTTGAAAATCTTCTTGTGGCATTCGAACTTTTTTACATACTTTACATTCATATTTATTACATTTCATTATTTGAAATATATAATTTCTAACATAACAATGACTTTTAATAAAATTATCATAAGATTTTCTTTTTTGTAATTGATTCATTGTAGTCATATACTTATCTAATTCAGAATCAATTCGAGCTATTATTTTAAAAAATGTATCAATATTATCTTCAGATGCTGGGTTATTAATTTTAAAATAATCATTATATAATTTTAATCGTCTAATTCGATCAAATAAAATATTTTGTACACTATCAATTGACATTTGTAATTCATGTTTTAGGATAAAATTTTTCTGTGCTTCTTTACGAATTGCATCTAATGTACATAATTTTTGAAAAATATCTTCTGATTTATTAGACATTTGTTCTCGTTGAAGTGCAACTCCCTGAAGACCAAGATTAAGAATAGACATTATTTGTTCAGCAGGATTTGCCTAGCTATAAAAAGGTGCTATATGTGCTGCAATAATTAAATCAAAGTCTCCATTTAAAAAAAGTGCAATAAGTGAAATTTGAACAGAACCAAAATTGCATCATTGATCAGGACCTCCATCCATATAAACTATAACTATTTCTGGTAATAAATCAGCACTTAAATAATTTTGTTCTATTGAATCAAAGAATTCAGTAGCATATCTAAGAAGGCTAGCCTGAAATGTAGTATCTTTTAATGAGATATACACTTGCCTAGCATAAAATGACTGAATCGGATCATCTGGAATTTTAGCAAATAAAGATACAGAAGGAGTAATTGAAAGTTTTGTAAAATCATAGTCTGTTGCTGAAAGTTCTATTTGTGTTGAGGTTGCCATTTTTTTATTTCGAACTCCAGTACTAGTTGGTACTAATTCTCCAATTGGTATTTTATGTTTATCATCTGCAAAAATAAGGCAAGTATATTTTTTATATTTTGATGCAAAATGTCGAATATATTTAAAGATTGCTTGACAATAATGAGCATCAATATGAGTTTTTCTTAATTGCTGTGTTTGCACCATATATTTAATCTGAAAACGTCCTGTGTATTGTGCACTTGCTTTGTACTAAGGATTTTTGGGACAAAACTGATAAGAAATCCATCGATCAGATGGTATTAAATGATTATCAGAAAGAGGATATTCATTATATTTATTTTCTAACCATTCAATGATTGATTCTCTTAAATTACGAACAGAAATAAAACTTGGTAAATAAAACATATTATTATAACGTCTTTCATGTACAGATAGAAGATTTTCTTCAAAATAACATTTCATCTCACTCCAAAATTTATCAAACTTAGTTCCTTTAAATTCATTATTTATACGCATATCTATAACAATTTCTGGATCTTCAAGTTCAAGCATTATTTTTAGTCTTTGATTTATTTCAGCAGAGTGTGAATTGTCTATTGCACTTGAATCACCAACTAGATCATAATAAAGATAACACAATGTACTTGAAGTAACTTTTGTTATTAATGAATATTTTGCAAAAATATTTCGTCTCATATAACATGTAAAGAACTGAGGTAACATTGATTGTGTTCAAATTATTGCTTGTGCATTTTTTGTTTCACTTGCAATTCAGGATTTTCAGAAATTTTCCAAGCAAAGTTTAATGTTCCTAAGTAATTTCTATGATAATACCAATATAGCACAATTGTTGAATCTATAGTAAGATTTAATAAATAATAAAATCACTTTTCTTTAGTTTTAGATAAAAATTCTTCTAGTGATATAATTTCATATTCATTGGCTGCTCTAATTTGTTTGGTAATTGGAAAATAAATTTCTTGTATAGTATTTACTGCACATAAAGATCGAATTTCAAGCATACTATCTTTTTCTGGACTTCGTGCTAGAACAGATGAAGATTGAATTCTTTGAACATGCAAATTAACTATTTCTAAATAATTAGCATATGTATGAGCTACTGTACATAGTTCTAATGTTGCAGTTATAATTTCATTCCAACTAGGTTTGCTCACCCATGGTTATAAAATGCATTCTTCTAATTTATCAGCACGAAGTTCTAATTCTTTACGTCTTAATATAGTTTTATGATGTTTTCCATTTTTATAATATGAATTTTGTTGATATAATGGCAATTGAAAAAAGATTGATGGTATTTTAAGACTATGCAATTTAAGCATTTTGTGCTTATCATCCAAGTAATAAAGAAGAGATACAAGTTTATTAATAAATGTTATGCCAAGTGAATTTTGCATCCCATATTCCCAACCAAGATTTTTACTGCGTAAAAGTTCTAAAATATCATTATATAACTGATCATTACAATTTGTTGATGGTTTTGAGTTAGGCAAACATTTTTTAGCTGACACATTCATCATTTCATTAAAAACATTTGATGTAAAAAAAATTTGACTTGTAGTAGATATTGAATGTTCATTCTGAATTGTGAATTTAATGTGCGATATATTTTGTTCTTCATGCGTACACATTCTCAGACATCCATTTAAACCAAATGCCACCATATGCCATATGTTTGTACCTCGAACTTGAATATCAACTCTAACAACTTCCTCAGAAACATAGTCACTATCTGCTTGATAAAGTAGATCTTCAAAAGTCAAGTTTTCATCGACTTCAAATAGTACAGCAGAAAGAATTGTTTTACCATCTCTTATTACGGATACAAAAGGAAAAATCATTTTTGTAACATAAAGTTCGATGAGCCAAGAAAAAATTATTGTTATATCTGATCAAATTTGGTATATCCATAATATGTACAATTTTAAAAGTCTAACTAAATATGAATAAGTATCTTTAGTACATATTATTATACAGTATTGTCATGTGGATTGGTAGTAGATGGGTTCCCACTATTAATTATGTGGGCGCTGCTTTAATTCGTTTTGCATTAAATAGACTTCAATGGTGTTTACTATTCAACATGCCTACATAACACTACTACAACAACGGCACACAAGACAATACAGAACTAGTTTCACAGGTAAGCAGCATTTTATTAACGTTTGGGCACTTGTCAATTACTAGAGGAGAAAAAGCTAACTTTTATTACTAATTCTTTACCTCTATATATACTAATTTGAGTCTAACATAACGATAAGCTACAGTATATTAGACTATCACTATGACGCACAAATTATTAATATACTTTCTTGTGCTTATTTTCGAAGCCCAATCCCGAATATAATGTATAGGGTATCGACCACTGTCATGACAAGTATTTATCGTTATCATTATTGTAGCATTTGATTCAAGCAATATTTTTATTGGCTGCTCTAATTGTTTAATTTAAGGGGGGGGGCGGTTTAAGACGGAGGGGGGGATAACGTTAAACGAAGTTTTAATTTCAAACGGCCTAACAAATAAAAAAAATCGAAATTACATCGAAAAGTGGCATATTTTTAGAGGGTGGAATTACGGATGTAAGGTTTGTGACGAATGCGATCATCATTCACATCTGTATTGCACAACATGCAAAAAAGTAGTTTTAAAAGAGAAAATAAATCAGAGTAAACGATTTGATCGTTATACATAATTTTCCACGTAACAAAGATACATAGTTTTGTGTTTTTACGTGGTCTACCTGCTAAAATTGCCTTATTTTTACGTGGTCTACCTCCCAACATTGCCATTAGCAAGAATTTTGGAACGGTCTTGGTAAGTATCAAGCAATAGTCTGTGTGGGTGGAAGTGATATAGATAGAAATATTAGCAATAGAAACAAAGCCAAACGTCCACCGCCAATTGGGCCGAACATGGAACATTTGGAGGAAGTGAACTCAGTTTGCCACCGCCAATTGGGTCTGTACATGACAAACTGGCCTTTTTCAAATCTTCTCACCGCCAATTGGGTCTGTACATGAGTAAATTTGGGCAAAGTTCACATTCCCAGTTTGCCACCGCCAAATTGGGTCTGTACATGACAAACTGTCTTTTTCATTCGCAACTTAAGTAGATCTGACGCGTACACCCACCTAATATTTTTAAAAATTCGGACGCGAGTACCCGGCGTGTCAAATAATGTAGATCAATTTTTTAAAGTACTATTTATATATGCATGTGATGTAAACAATTGTAGAAATGTGTAATTCACGTGATTTTTAATTTTTCACTAACTCCGTCCGAATTTTACGGAACGCGACGTTAAACTACCTAAAAAATATACCATTTATTTCGGAAAAGATGCATTCTTACTTCACCTCAGTTAAAGTTGGTTTCTGGAGTTTAAAACACTATGTCGACTGGATTATAAAGAATGAAAGTGAATTACCGTTATGGGAAACGTGTTTGGCTGACTTTTACGGCTCGTCGGAATTTATAGTTAACCATAGATCATTACCACGACTCGATCGTGTTGTTGCTGAAAAAATCCTAAAAGCTAAAGAGGTGAATGTAATAACTAGATACTGATCCATTACTTTGATTGCGCTACTTATAGAATCTTTCATAAATCAGCTTCCCGAAACCAAGGAACTTATTGAAGACCTTCGAATACCATACGAACGGGCATACGACGGAAAATATGGAAAATCTATTTATAAGGCTGGTTGATGTTGAGGCATTGATTATAATTAATATCTGAATAGTAAACTTATATGCATAGTTTATCTACAATAGACTCTAGTGCATGTGCAACAGGAAGAGAATATATTTGTTTCAGCGAGCAAAAAAATGCGAACGAAAAAGGAGAAGGTATTTTCTTGATTTGAGAAAACATCTATTTATAAATACAGAAATATTAACTCATAGTACTTTTATTTATCATCTAAATACAGGTTCAGGGTGAAGAGTGTGTCTCGAAAAATGAGAATTGCCTTCTTATTTCGGTGAGTTAAGTTAGTTGGTTTTCATTTTGCCAGATATAAGGTATATAAGGTTTGATTAATCTGATCCATAATGCTATATTCGTGCTATAGGAGGAATCGGAATTCTTTCCAAATGATTATAACAAAGAAAATATTGACGATGAGGATGAATTCGATGTCATGGACAAAAATCTTTACACGGAAAGGTAATATCTTTTTTGCGCATTCTTGCTCCATTAGATCGACTAACTGATCAAACTTAGATTTAACATGATGGAAAATTCGAGGAAATGGAAGCTAGAGTCAGGAAGGTTTGTTGAAGATGTACTCTATGAGCTTGGAATGAAATGCCGATACTACAAGTAAGCGTTGTGTTACCTTTTTTAAAAAAAATTTCAAGAAGAGGATCATTGACTTTGCCTTTTAGTCTTGTTCACTCTTTCATACTCGATCCTACGGATGAGTTTATTAAAAACGCATTCAAAGAAAAGGAGTTATCTGAAATAATTAATAAGGAGAACGGGAATGATCCACTGGAAATTGATGATGAGATCCTCGAGTACATAAACACATTCGCAAAGGTATTTTATTTTGGATTGTCACAATATTATTTATTTAGTAAAACGAATGGATATGTCAGGACTCTACAAAGGAAATACGAATAGCGTTGAATACGCCACATCGCCGACTTGGGAGCAATTACAATCCACAGAATGATTTTGTCTACGAGCACGTAAGAACGACGGTTTCTGATTGGTGAGTGAAGTGAAAAAACTTTTATAATTTATAGTACTCCGAAAATCCGAGCTTCGGTTTCCAATCCTTGATAGCCGGCTTTTGAGATCATCATTCGGCCAGAAAATCTATTTATCTGCGTTGAACTAATAAGTCATTATTGTACAGGGTCCGACTTCTCGAAATGCAACCAAATCCATTAGCTTTGGACATGCCAGAGGCATGGTATCGCATAAATGTTTGGAGGTCGATCGATATCGCGTTTTCGGATACGCCATATACTTACGTTGTTGGGTCTGTAAAAAATGTAGTATCTTTGGTTTTTGCTTGTGATTTATTTTTATTTTATTTTTTTTCTTGGGATGTAGAGGTGAGAAAGCCGGATTAGCTTCTTCTGAGAGAAAAAATCGTCACAGGACTTTGTCGAACACTGAACTGATCCAACGAAAAGCGATCGGAAAAAAGGGAGACGCATACATTAGAACTATTGGGTCGACATCAACGGACTGGGGGGCATCAGAAGCAGGTCATAAGTGGGAAGGTACGTCTGGTACTAAGCTAATAAAAGAATTGGGGCTAACCTTGCCGAGAACTCTTAAAGATATTTTAATCCATCTTGCTGGAAAGATTCATTTTGCTGAAGAAAAGCTGAGGAAGCTGAACATAGTCGGCTTCGCTCACGCAGGTTAGTATTTCTCAGGTGACTTCCTGAATTTTTAATAATCGTATTATTTCTTTTTAAAGGTGCGGTGTTGATTAGGACAAATCTTGACTGCCCAGCTGGATACACCTGCAGATATACGAAAGGAGATCCACTTGAAGTTTATGCTGATGCAAATAACTTTAGTAAATCCTTGGACGTGCTGATCGAGATAATATGTGGCAAGGTAAGTTATATTGGGCTCGTTTTGTTTAAGCCTTAAACTTCTGATACTTAATTTTTTTTCTAGCTCCTAATACTTAAGACGATGAAAGTTATAAACGGTGGTATGGACAGTCAAAACAACATTGCAAGATGGAAACAACGGGTAAAGTCAGAGAGTTCGGATGTTTCTATAACAATACCTGACGTTCATCCATCACCGAAGAAATGGAGAATGGTACAGGTTCCGAGGTGAGAATAAGGAGAAAAAAAATTTATGTGATCCTCCAATCCGACCAACTTTAAAAGAAAACTGTATACCAAAAAGCAGTTCGAAGAAAAAGAAGATTAGTTCTCGTTCACACCCATTAAATGATTCTCAAAAAGTAACTCGATAATTTATATCAGTTAAATTCGGAATATGAATGATTTGCGTGTTTTAAAGAATGGATGGAAAAGGATAAATGTTAGAATATAGTAAGGTTTATGCTTTATGTTATTTTTTTTAATAAAGCTTCAGTCATGTCATAGCAGGTTTTAAATTTTGTAATCTACTGCGCTTATAATACATCAAATATAATACATGTAATTTTTTTCTTGGCAAAAATAATTTGCGTTCCAAAATGAAACGGACACGTAACTTCGAAAACCAATTAGACCAATGCACTGGAGGAAAGTGTCTTGGCCATGCCTGCGCAACAGAGCCCTAAAAATACTTGCATTATATATATTGAAATACAGTACCTCTCAGAGGACATTCTTCGTGAAGAGCCAGATTTTTCATCGATTAAATCACTTTTTTCTCATATTCATTCGAAAAAAGAAAAGCCGTCAGGGTAGACTACCAAAATAAACAATCAGGATAGGCATTCCCCCGCAGATCGACAGATCAAGGGAGGCATTTGTGGCGATATGATCCATCGAACTTGTGCGAAAGCAATGTATAAAGATGGAACATTACTTTGCTCCACTAATTAATAATCACAAATTACATTGCAAAAAATCGTGTAAAAATAAAAAATGGCAAGGTCACGGGACCCCCTTCTTTATTTATAAAAATTATTATTGTCAGGACGACAACATAAAATACAAATAAAAAAAAATATTAGCATTATAGTGCTAGTACGGCTAAAAAAAAAATTAACCAGCATGTTCACTGAGAACATCTTTTTCATATTTCAATCGAAATTTAAACTCTCTTAGTACCCATGTATCACACCCCTTATTTCTAATAATGTTATCGAGTCCAAATGATTCTTCTTCAAATTTGAAATATAACCCATCTTTTTTTTGAAACGTACTATAATTTATAAAATGGTACAAATAGAATATAGATGTAAGAAAAACAAAATTATATAATGCAAGCCTATAAAAAATGAAGTAACTTACAAAGAAAGCTTATCATCACTGAGCTCTTGTGATTTTTCAGGACCATCCCCACACAGTTTGATATTTTTTCTATCTACCCAAGAACTTGGACTAACTACAAAAATTAATGATATATATATTTAATCATATTTTATTAACAAAGTTGGTAAGAATTAATTTATTCACCAACTTCAACTAAGATTTCTTCCATCATTGCAACTGGCATTTTGTGACTTCTAAATATAAAAGTTATAATTAGTTTTTCTTTTCAGAATCCAACCCAACATAATAACTAATACCTTAAAAATAAATTACACGCAAGTAAAAAGTATATATATGAGCAAAAAATAACGTTATTACTAACTTATCTTATGGGTGGGAACTTGCTTATTTTTATACTTCATATTTGTTAAATCTAGAGAACCTGCCAGAAGAAAAATTACAAGCTTAGTAATTATATTATTCTAACACAATGTCAAATCACACCATGTAAAGCAAGTCTATTCAGTCATAACTTCCAAATGCTGAATCTATTTTGTTATTTTTTTCTGGTAAAATTAACCCCTCTTAGATTCGATCTCTCCTGAGAAGTAAAAAAGTCAATGATCTCGACAATCTGAGAACACCAAGTTCCTGCGACATATGAATTTTGATAAAAATATTAATAAAGAACATTATATTCATTACTCTTATAGTTCTTTTAAATCCCATTCATGCCTTTTCTTATCATGAAATCATATATTGTATAATAAGAAAATAGTCTTTCTACTCATAAATATTTATTAGCATTAGGACAAAATCGATGTGGGAAAGTAATTCTGTAGTAAGGTAACACTGCATAAATTTAATGTGTGCAGTTAAGTAATGTAACTTTACATAGTGTTCTGACACATGATTATTTACCAGCACTATGAAAGTTTGGCCAGCATTATTTACATAAAAATTACGTAAAATTACATAAAATTTCTAATTTGCATGTATCATAGCCACAAAAGTGGTATATGTACTGCATATTTCTAAATCGCTCTAATTTATCTTTTCAAGATCAACACAAAAGCATACTATTCTTCTAGAGTAGAACATCGACTTGGGTTGGTTTTCCAACCTTAACGGCTTGTTAAATAGTATGCTTTTTTATTCTATATTTTACGAAATGAATCTGAGTATGTAATGAATTTTTTGGTTATTGTGTAACATTTATGTAACATCAAGGGATCGATCACGAAACAATCATGTAAATTTTATTAAATTCTTATGCACGATCAGGGAACAATCACGGAATGTCACAGTTTAATCAGTGGAAGATAACAATTCATCGATTTACATGAGCAATTAGAATTGCATGTAAGTTCGTATGAAAGCAAATGACATTTAATGACCTGTTAAAATTAGGTAATTTATTTGTAACAATTATAGAATATATGATGACTTGTATCTAAATGTGTAGTGGTCTCTGCTATAAAATAAAAAACATATTTAGTTGTTTAAAATACTTTTTATTACTTCTAACAGACTTTTACTTATAATTCTAAAAATGTCTAAAGATTGGAACGATATCTGAACTCAGCTTCTAATTAATGAACAAAAAAATAGGAACGTGAAGTATCATAACCTTCATAGGGGATATAGAAATGGATTTTGGAAAAGTATCACCATTAAAATTAATGAACAACATGAATCAAACTTTAATAAGTATCACTGCAAAGAAAAATTTTTAACTCTTACCCAGGATTATAATGTAAATATACTCTTATGCCTTGCATATACGAACCCCATCCATTTTTATTTGTTTTTGGTGCTTTTAATCTGCACAGATTAACATCTGATAATTATTAAAAAAAAATAGAAGATGCATTTATATTTTGCAGAAAATTGTGGAGGACGGAAAAGCTGAACTGAAGAACGTTATTTTGAGAAATTCCAAATCCATTTTTGGAAAATCCCAGTAAGTTGATTTATCTTTGTGCAAGAGTATTACTTCTTTTTTTAATAACTTTACAAATACATGTTATGTTTAGTATCTCAATTTGATCAAAGATGACAAGAAATTAGATGAAGTTGTTCCCCACCACCATCTTATGAGAAAACAATATCGTCACTAAGTCGAAAGTCATCATTCTCTAGTCAAAGAAGCCAATCCACTTTTCCTGTAAGGTTATCTTTTTGTAAAGAAGATAATAATAGGCATTCTGTTGTTCTTTGAGATAAGGAGAATAGGAATAGTAGAGGCTAAATTTTTATGTAATGTGTCCATGCTACATATAGCATTTAACTTTTGTACTTCGCTTGCCTATTTGAGGTAAAAAAAATAAATTACTATATATATGCATCTGAGAATTTTTTGTGTGATTTTATTACTTAAATATAAAGATAAATTCGTTATTCTAAAAAATTGTGAAGGCATATGACTTAATGGTCACATGGGACGTGAAATCAAAACTATTCATAATTTGTTTGTGTCTTGATAAAAAAAATCATGATAGATGTTTGATCAACATAGTACATAAATAACGAAGTGTATATAAATTTGTAAATCGAGCTTAAATATATAGCATGTAAAATTATTACTATACTCCATATAGCCAAATGTGCCTCTCGATAGATTATTTTTACAATGCACAATAATTCCAAATATAGAAAATGTGCGATTGTTGGTCATGTTCTATAATGTAATGACGAATTTAGTATTCATTTTAATTGTTTGTTAACAATTACTGAATTATCGTGTTAAATTATTATGACGTGCAATTGTTTGAACTATGTTAAATTATTATAACGACACACGATTGTCTTAAATTCAATACCAACTATACAATTATGCTATAGTTTTTAGTATAAATTCTCTAATAAATAGGACTGACTTTCGATATAGAGTTCGATTTAGTTGATATTTTTTATTCTTCATATTTCTTATTTTGTGCAATAAAAATACTTATATTGTTATTAAGACAGCTAATTACAATGCAAACACTAAATAATAAGTGAAAGGGAGAGGGCATCACATCACAAGAGATTCCAATTATCAGGAAAAAATTATCCTGCCATGCTCGTGCAAATAGAAATAAAAAACAAAAGTGCGATCATAAACAAAATAAGGTTCTTTGTAAGCCAGAAGTTGCCAAGCCTATCATTAAAGATGATATTATCTTTTTTTTTTTTTTTTTTTTTTTGGAGTTAAGGTGAGGTCATGCCTCAGGTCTGTTTATTCGAACATATTGTTAC